CAAGTTCGAAGAATTGTTTAAAAAATATTAAATTTGAAATCACTAGCGTCTGATATACATGTTCAGGTAAATTTAAAAATCAGTCAATTTGAAATGGCAAGCGCCCTTGGTAGACAAGTTCAGAGAAAAAATATCAAAATCGTTAAATTTAAAATGTTTTGCGCCCCTGATAAACACGTTCTGGAAAACATTTAAAAAAGATATATTTGAAATCATCGGAGGCGAACCAGCCTCAGGCTGAAAGCCTCCTTAATAAAGAAAACTTAACTAACCTTATATTTCAAATGACTTGCGCCCCTGGTAAGCATGTTGAAAATGATTTAAATCATTCAATTTAAATGGAAAGCGCCCCTAATATACATTATCAGGGAAAAGTTTTTAAAAATTTAAATTTAAATCTGGATTTCTGAAAAAATATTAAATTTTAAATAGCCAGCGCCCCTGGTAGACAAGTTGCGGTAAAAGTTTAATAAAAATGTTAAATTTCAAGAGGTTTGCGCCCCTGGTAGACAAGTTCAGGTGAAAATTAGAAATAGCTAGTGCACCTGGTAAACATGTTCAAGTTGAAATTTGCAAATGGCTTGCACCTTGGGTAAACACGTGCTGGTAAAAATTGATCAAAATAGTTAAATTTGAAGTGGCTTGCGCCCCTGCTAAACATGATCAGAGAAATTTTTTTTTTCCTTTGGTTTGTTTTTTTCTGTAATTTTTCAGTAATTTTTCTGCTGAGCCCAATGCTACCGACGCCAGGAAGGCAGCTCCCAAACCTGGACCCTACCTATCGACCCATCAACTCATGAACCGGGAACCAACGGCTTTACTTCCCTTCCCTAAAAATCTACCCCGTGATCAGAGATGTTATGCCTCAGAACATCCCGGCGGCGCCGACTGGAATTGAACCCAGGCCTGCTGGGGTGAGAGGTAATCACGCTTACCACTACACCACCGGCGCCGTTCAGAGAAACATTTAAAAACATATATAAATGTGAAATGGGTAGTGTCGCTGGTAGACAAGTTTACGGATAAATAAAAAAAATATCTTGCGCTTCTGGGAAACATGATCCAGGAAAAATTGAAAAATAATGTTATCTTTTAAATGGCTTGCCCCTCTTGGAAATATGATCAAGAAAAATAAAAAAAAATATAATGCACCCCTGGTAGACATGTTCTGGAAAAAAAAATTCTTAAAAAATGATGAAAATCTTTAAATTTGAAGTTGTTAGCGCCCCTAAATTTTAAATGGCTTGCATACCCTGATAAACATGTTACGGAAAAAAAAAATCAATCAAATATGTTAAAATTGAAGTGGCCTGTGCCAGTTAAAGTTAAATAATACCCTTGAACTGTTAAAAACTTCATCTGATTGGGGTTAACCACTAACGGTGATTGGCTGAAAATTGGCGTAACTTAGTGGCGTAAGATAAAAAAATTTACATGATGATGCTTTCAAAATTCTTTCACGTTGAGGTATGGGAAGGAAGTTTGGAATCATATAAAAAGATTGACATCACTTCGGAAGGTACTGAATCACTTGAGAATAGCTTGGAATCACTTTCAAAAAGAACTGAATAACTTTGTAAAATTAGGAATCACTTCGGAAAGTACTGAATCATTGCAGAGAACATTGAATAACTTATGAAAAGTTCGAAATCACTTCAGAAAATTTTGGATTTACTTCGGAAGGGCTGAATCACTTCAGAAATGTTTTCAATCACTTCGGAAACTACTGAGTCACTTAGGAATGTATTGTATCACTTTAGAAATGTTCGGAATCACTTCTGAACGTACTGAATCAATTATGAACACTTTAGAATCACTTTAGAAAGTATTGAATCACTGCAGAAATGTTCAGAGTTACTTCACAAAGTACTGAATAACCTCAAAAAAGACCGGAAACACTTAATAAATATTCGAAATCACTTTGAAAAGTACTGAATTATTGCCGAAAGTTCACTTTGAAAATAATTGAATCACTTAGGAATGCAGAAATGTTCGGAATTACTTTGGAAAATACTGAATATCTTCAGGAATGTTCGGAATCACTTTGGATAACTTCGGAAAGTACTGAATTATTTCAGAAAGCATCGAATCACTTTGGAAAGTATTGAATCACTTTAAGCTCGGAATCTCTGCGGATAATATTGAATCACTTCAGAAAATTTCGTATTCATATTCGAAAGTACTGAATCACCCCAGAAAGTTTGCAATCATTTCCGCAAGAACGGAATCACTTAGAAAATAATTGAATAGGTTGCTTCCACTCACTTGCTATAACAAATTGTTTTCTGAAATAATGAAATCATTAGATGATATAATGATATGTTGTACTTGCGCAAGTAACAAGAACAAAGTGAAAAGTGTGTGTTTGACTCATAAAACCTCTCAATTTCGCTTTCAGAGCGTCACAATCAGCGATCTTATGATTCGTGAGCGTTCACTCAGAGTGAGCGCTCACGAATCGTAAAATCGCTGTTTGTGACGCACTGAAAGCAATATTGACAGGTTTTATGTGTTAAATATATACTTCACGACCCCTTCTTTTAACCTTCAAGTACTAAGAACCATTATAACATCTAATGATTTCATAATTCCGAAAAACATTTTTTTATAGCAAGTGAGTGGAAGCAACCCTGTGAATAAGTAAGGAATGTACTGAATCACATCAGGAACGTTCGGAATCACTTTGAAAATAATGAATCGCTTCGTAATGTTCATAATCAATTCGGAAAGCACTAAATCATTCCAGAAAGTACTGAATCACTTCAGTAGTTCAGTGGAGCACCGAATCTTAAAAAAAAAAGTTCAAAATCTTTTCTAAAAGTACTGAAACACGTTAGAAAATCTCCGAATCACTTTGAAAAGTACTGAAATACTGCAAAAAAACTTCAGAAAGTACTGAATCACTTCAGATAGTACAGACATAATTGAGCATGAGAATGATTAACCGCTCGCGGTTGCTACTCCGTTTTTACCAGATTACCTGACAGAGAAGCAACAAACGATGCGTTAGACTAGCATGCATCTGCAATGTGTAAAAACTGGTGATGTCCTATTTTCCGATAGGGAATAATAGCGCATAATGTTCAATAACTTGATATCGAGTTATATAACCATAATAAAAATGAGTATCATGGCTACTGCGATAGCGAATTTGTATGGGATTGTTATTCTATAACTCGATAATTCTATAACTCGAGTTGTAGAGAGTGCACTGTAGTTACGTTTCCAAAAACGAGATCTGTCTATACTGCCATTACATTACATTAGGAAAATTTGGAATCACTTTGGAAAAGTTCAGAATCACTTCAGATAGAACTGAATAACTTGAACGGAGATGAACTAGCCTACGGCTAGAGAGATCTTGAGAGCGTCTAAAACAAGAACCTGATATAAACGAAAAAACCTGGCACTGAAACAGTAAACGCATTGCCTATTATGGTTTCCAAAGGTAATATCAATTGTAACAGCACAAACATCTCTTGTTCTTATTTCAAAGATTTGCATAGCGAAGATTGTGTTATTGACACGTTCACATGCTTGAGGAGTTTGGTATTCCACTTTTGCTAAAAGTAGTTGGGGAATTATGAAAGTAAGATTTCTTGTACAAGAGCCAAATGGGATGGGCCATTTTGCATTATTGTACATATATTTTTATGGTTGCTGTTCATTTATGCTGGTGATTGATTTATGCTATCTTAACAGCAGTCATCATTTATAACTACTCAAGATAAATCCACCACCTCTAGCATAAATTGAACAGCAACGTAGAAACCATATTGCCAATATTGGTAATTTCTATTTCTATCTAATAAACTAATTGAAACAACGTCATCAATATTGTGGGCGGACGCATCGTTAGTTAAGAAAGATTTATATTTTAAGGGCGCTGGTCAATATTCGGTGCGACTACTTAGCTCAAATTTTAGGAATACAGCACTGGAATGCACGATATTACACTTTTTGTTACCAGGTGAATGTTTGCCATTGAAGAAAAAATTAATGAAATTTTGACTATGTGAAAAACAATTTTGTCAACATTGCACGAAAGTCTGTCATTGACAATGACAAATCTTAGTACTTTAATCAATGATTGTTAAAGCTTAAGGTTAATATAGAGAAATTTCAGGCTAGCGAAACGATTGGTATGTAAGTTTGCGTAATTGTTTTTTTTATTTGATAATGATTCACATTTTTGCTAAAGTTCGGCCATTTTGGATCTTATAAAATTTTCAAATCATTCAAAAAATTGTAGCACGGAAACGGCATTTCTAATCGAAACGACGCCTGAGACAAAGTTGTAACGAAAAGTAATGTCAGGCTGGGAAAAATAAACAGAAAAAGATCTGTTTTTAATTTATTGACCGAAACATTTTAAAAAAAATATTAAAAAACCAAATAGCTCAAAGTGTCTTTGCCAGATTTACACAAGTACATTTTGAAATATTAAGGATTTAAATTTTTTATTCTTACTTCAAATGAATCCATGCCTTTGTTTGTATATTTTTCCCAGAAAAAAACATTATTTTTCTCTACAACTTTTTCTAGGATGTCATTTCGATCAGAAATCCCGTTTCAGTGCATCATTTTTTGGAAAACTGCTAAGCTGCCATTTTTAAAATTTTACAACATCTGAAATGGCCGAATTTTAGCAATAATGTGAATCATTGCCCATAACAAACAATTATGCAAATTTTCATGCAAATCGTCGAATTTTTCCGACTCGTCATTTGGCGTGGAACTGCTTATCGAATGATTTTTTTTTAAATCAATCAAATGCTGGCAAATTCAATCCACCAAATCTGTTTATTGTAGTAAATTTATAAAATCATACTTAAAGAACCACCTTGTAGCACTCTTGCCACAAATCAGTTACAGAAACTTCTATACAATCTATTTCAGTCAAACACAAGTTGCTGCAACTGTTTGCGACGGAAGTGTGCGCTACACGGGCAATATGTTTAAGGCAAGGAAAATCCAAACAACAATTTTACAATACTCACCTCCGAGACCTCGGTCTGGCAGCTCTCCACCGATTTGGTGAGCTCCTGCAGTTGCGTTCGGATCTCGCAGAGGGCGACCGTGGTCTCGAAGTGCCGGTCACCCCGCTGCAGATCGTCTAACTTCGCCGACAGATTCATGCTCATCACGCTGACCTGCTTCTGCAATCTGCGTTGGTTGATGCGATGAGGTTTGAGGAAAGAAAGGAAAAAAAAAACCTACAATTAGTTCACTGTCGAAGAACATTACAATTCGGATCACACTGGTTAACTACTACTGGTCAGGGATGTGGGATGGCTTCGAAATAGTTGAAGGACGTTTTTTTTTGTGTGTTCATACAAACAAATAATAAAACAGAACAAAAAAGTGAGACTTTGATTGCTGGATCGATTGACGAAACTGTTTCGAGTGTGGAAGTCACTTTGTCGGAGAGAAAATGCACACAAATGAACGGTGGTGGTTGGAGAGGAGATAGAGAATGATGGCTGAGTAAAATCGGTTAGCGATTTAGCGAGCGATAAACTGTTCTACAAACTAGTTCAATGGTGGTAGCAATGTTATAATATATTCTATGTTGTGATCAGCTTCGCAAATGATTCCTGTCCTGTTGTTCATTTGCTGGTGATTAATTAAAGCTAAAGTTTTTTTTTCATGAGTGTATCGAAAGTAGAAAGCAGCAGTGTGAGTTTTAACAATAGCAACGATACGAATGTCTTGGTCGGATGGAAATTTTCCTTTCTGGGTGGTAACATTTTGTATCGTAATGAATGAAAAAGTTTGGGAATGTTTCCTTCCCAGAAATGGTATGCTAACTACCTGTCATTCCTGGGATGGGATGGAAAGGTGAAAACCTTACTCTTCTGAGATGGAGACACATGTATATTTACATCATAGTGGGATTATGGCGGGTGGAGATGGGTTTCGGTGCGTAGCGTTGTTTCGCTCCCGACCGAGCAGGAACGGAAAAGTTGACAACAGTTTCGAGAACTTGTTCCGGTAGGAAGCAATTTCACCATTTTCCCCGCAGCTGTCGAAATTCATTAATATTCATAGCTGGTAGTTGCACTTGCCTTGGGATAGTAATGCTGTACTCTAGTCGTGCGAGGGGACGGGGTAGGAAGTGAGGAGAACTAGCTAGATGTTTTTTTTTCTTGGTCCTCAAAAGCTAGACAAGTGAGCTGCGTTCGTTCGTTGATCTTTTTTATTATTTGACGGAGAAGAAGGAAGAAGGATCTCTGTTTTTTTTTTTTTTTAATTCTGTGAATGCCAATAAAACTTGAGAAAGTGATTTACCGGTTTGTCTTTTGCGTTTGAGTTTTCAAACTAGTTAGAAGAGATGGGACGGATATTTTAAGAGGAGGCAGAGAGGCAGACAGTGGGCTAGGAGAGAAGGGATGAAAGCTAGTTTCGTGATGCAGCAGTTTCAAACAATGAACAGGAAATGAAAAAATCATATGAATAGAGGAGGGCAATCTGGGACTTAGCTCTATTGTATCATAATCCGGAGGGTAAACTTTCTCACCTGTGTCGAAGGTGAGCAAGATCCATGACTCTTTTGTTTTGAGAAGAGGTTGTGTGTGTTTGGTGCATGCATAATTGTGTTTACTTGTTACTTATTCATGGCTGCAACTTAAAAGGATTAATCTCTTAATCGTAATTAAATTAAAAATCCAATATAATTCTTGACACACTCATGTGATTGTTGGATTAATACATGGATACCCTGTTCTTCGAGGTGTTAAAATTAAGCTTGATATATGATGCCAATAAGTCAATAAAAATTTCACATGCAATCCCAGAAAGCAAAGTCTATTTCAAGAGTTGTTGAAGAAGTTCATTCGCACTTAGATTATTTTACAGGAGTCAGTATTTTTTTACTCTGTTGGTAGAGTCGGTAAAAATCAAATGACCGTTATCCGTAAAGAGTTTCTATCATTAAATGGGGTTAACAGAATGAAGTCTGTACAAGTTCGGAACAAATTTTCTCATTTTTGAATTTTACACAGGTTTTTTTTAAACTAGGGGAAATAGCTCAAATGTTGGCCTATGGATCTAAGATTGGACCCATTGCAAAAAAATCTGCTATTTATCAATTTTATCTAGATGAATGGAATTGTTCTGGTCGCTATTGAAAATTTAGTCATTTGCTCGATTAGAGCCGTATTAACGGAGATAAATCGATTTAAAGATTTTCATACCCGCCAGCCTGATATAATGGGTTGGGACATTTGCTTGAGGAAATTTTTTTGTGACACCTAAAAACCTGAGTACTGCGAACTCAGCCGATTTTATTTTTCAAGTGAGTTTGTTTCAAGTGAAATTGTTTTGCTGAAACAGCTCGCGAAATTGTATATACATGCTGTCAAATGAACTCTTGGCTCCTCCTCCTCTGCTCCAGAAATAACGTATACATGGTGATGGGAGTGCACCTGCCCACAAAGCTCACATGACTCTTATAAAGTTTGATTACGTTCTTGTTTCAGCAACCCAGTTTTGGCATTATTAATATCAAATAAAAACACGATCGGTGATTTAAATTATCCGCCTACTAAGGTTGATGTTTCGACACTTTTATATTTATAATTCTTAATTTCTTTCAGAAGGTTTGCAACACCTTTACTTATGGTTTAAACAGTAACTACCTACGTGACTTCTGAGCTCTTTTGAATGTTTGGCTCCCGTTTGACAGTTTGACTCGGCTCCCAGATGACAAGCATTTTGAGTTAGTTCACAGTACTCAGCTAAAAATCCTCCAAATCTCGATTGGAGCCGTATTAACGGAGATAAATCGATTTGAAGATTTTCATACATAAATGGGCCCAAATTAGGGGCATTTAGGACGACATTACATCAATTTCCCCTATTACCTAACATTTCCACAATTCAAAAACCAAATTAAACCTTTTTGGATGGATTAGTGTGTACCCACTTGTTTGAATTGCAAAGTTTTATTCTGCCTACTAAGATTTATCAAATATAAGGTTAGTGTTGGTCTAAGTCTTTCTTATATTGGGTCCATACATACATTTTGAAGGGAAGCATTATTTGACAAGTTTTCACTAGTTTTCACTCTAAAAAATATTCATTTGCATTGTCCCGAGGACGCATTGCACAGTAGTCCAGAATGAAAATTTAACAGGAAAGATGCTTTAAGAGCCTTGAAAATTTAGAAAAAAGTGTCTTCTTGGAATTTGTTCCTTACACTTAACAATTACATTTAATTTGTCATAAAGAGACTTTTGAAGCATTATTAGACATCGTTAGCATTAGCCCATCGTTAATAAAGACACTCTTTATAATGTTATGTTTTTTATTGACATTATTGAATTTCTGAATAAAGGTTGACATAATGCTGATCAAGTGAATATTAAAGCTTTGAAAACTAATGCATATTCAAAAAAAATAAGTAGAAACGTTTAATAAAGCTTGTTTACAGATTTTAAAATGCTTATTATAAGCTTAACAAACTCTTCTTCACATATCGTAGGAAGCGAATGAATCAATCGCTCATTATGAAACGCGAAGAAGTCCTAGTTATGTTTAATTTTCAGATTCATGTCGAGCCTCCATAAGCGTGAAGCTTGATAAAATCACCATATTTAGATGTTTATCAACTGAACAAAGAGTTTTATTTCTTAATTACAATATTTGTTCAGGCTAAGGTTGCACTGATTTATTCATTCTATTTATAATAGATCAGTACCGACGCTGGCCACGTCCTTACGGTCTTTTGAGAGGGGAAATTTGACAATCGTTGGTACTAGAGACCGAGTTTACACAATTGTCACGGGAAAGATAGTTGGGTTATTTTTAGATTCACTGCGGTAAGTAAAAGCAGCTGTTTTTATGTAGTGAGGATAGAATAAGGAATAGTGAAAAATTGCAAAGAAGAGGACGGGCCTGGGATTGAACTCTTTACCTTCGGCTCAGTAAGCAGAAACGGTAACCACTAAGCACCAGTAATACCCACCCAACGTAATGCTGATGACGAACTGAATGCATTCCTAATTGTTTTTTACATGCATGGCTAATAGATAAATTACATTACACGGTCTTACATAAACTCTAGGTTGAAATGGAATTGACTAAATCTCATAAAACTTTCAATTCAAAAAATTTTGACATCCCATTCATTTTTTACAGCTACGTACACTAATCAAGAACCGTGCTGCATACCGTCAATTGCGATGTTGGTTATACAAGGACTGACCCATCTTACTGCTTAAGCAAAAATAATGTCCAGGTGCCTTTCTCTTGTAACATAAAATAGCATTATTCCATATGTTGGCCACTCTCGCAGAGGCACCTGAAAGTCCAATGCTGCATTATTTCATCAATATCACGTGACAACTGACGTGCTACATTTCTCGATTCACACTGACGAAACCGCTATTGAAATGCTGACTGACTAAGTATGATGCGACACGACGTGCTTTGCTTTGCTTCGTCAATGCACTTTGACAGACAAAGCAGTCCGGCAGATTGTCGCAGACTGATATTTTTCTTCATTGAGCAACATGTTTTTCCTCATCGTTTTGTTGTGCTTAGAGCACCCGCACCAATGCGTTGCTAAAGCTATTTCAGTAACCTCCACCATAACGCAGTAACCGCACTGGGGGTTACTATTCAAGTGCGGGAAATAACAATCTGCCTCTTGGTGAACAGCGGGTTGACAACCGGCCGAAGCGTTGCTATCTATGAAATGTTTGTTTTGTTTTTCATTTGAACATTGTGATATATGAATGAATTTCGACGTGGAACAAAAATGTGGACCCTAGGGACAGCAAAGCATTACTCTGGAAGACCCGGAACATCCATAAATGTAGAAAGTTAGTAAAAAATGATCTAGATTTTTTTAATCAACTTGTTGTTATGCTGCATGAATGAATTTAAATTTGAAACCAGTATGTGCACTCTGGTAGCCATGGAACGGTCCTTCGAAAGATCCGGAACATCCGTAAAGGGGGCCGATTCATAGAAAAGATCGTAGAGCTCTGTACTTTTTAATTCACTTACTTTGATGCTACATTAATGCATTTTGGATCTGGGTCCAGCATGCGAACTTTGCTGGCCACAACCCGGTCTTTCGGGAGGTCCGCACCATGCGTTAAAGTAATAAAAAAAGATTCAAGAGCTTCACGATTCACTTATTCTGAAGCTACATGTAT